CGCAGAGGTTAGAGAAGGTGGGCCTGTGATCAGAAGATCGCCGGTTCAAGCCCCGGTACCGACATCAAAAATGTGGGTGGGGTAGGTGAAGCACCCACACCTGCCCCCACCCTCATTCGTCCCACTCTGGGCCCTTGAGCAAGGCCCTTAACCCCCACCATCTGCTCCACCAGGTGTCCTAGATAGCAGCTCTCTGCTCCACACAGAGGGCTGTGGTAGCTCGGTGGTCTGTGGTCGCGTCAGGAAGGGCATCTGGCATAAAAATAACTGCCAAGTCTTCCTGCAACTTAGTTCGCTGTGGCGACCCCTGAAGAAGGGAGCAGCCGAAAGAAGAATATATATATATATATATATATATATATGTATATATATATATATATATATATATATATATATATATATATATACACACCCACACTGCTAAAAAAAAAAGGGAAATCCTAAACAAAATAATTCCAGTCACACCATTGTGGAATCCATGTCACCAGTTATCTAGTAACACTTATTGTGAATCAATTTCACCTGCTGCTGTGCAAATGGAACACACAACAGGTGGAATGAGAGGCAATTAGCAAGACAACCCCTATAAAAGAATGATTCTGCAGTGGTGACCACAGGTCATTTCTCTGTTCTCGTCCTTTCTGGTTGAACTTTTAGTCTCTTTTTCATTTTGTCAGTGTTGTCACACATGGAGGCATCATGAGGCGTTTTTTACAGCCCACTGAAGTTGCTCAAATAGTGCAGCTAATCCAAAATGGAACATCAATGCGAGTGGTGGCAAAAAGATTTGCTGTGTCTCTCAGTACAGTGTTCAGAGCATGGAATAGGTACCAGGAATAGGTACCAGGTACCAGACAAGCCAGTACACCAGGAGACATGGAGGGGGAAATAGGAGGGCTACAACCCAGCAGCAGGACCGTTACCTCGTCTTTTGTGCAAAGAGGAACAGGAGGTCCATAGTCAAGGCCTTACAAAATGACCTCCAGCAGGCCACTAATGTGCATGTTTCCACTCAAACTGTCAGAAACAGACTTCATGAGGGTGGTATGAGGGCCCGACGTCATAGGGCCTGTGCTTACAGCCCAACACCGTGCAGGACGATTTGCGTTTGCTAGGGAACACCAAAATTGGCAGATTTGCCATTGGCACCCTGTGCTCTTCACGGATGAACGCAGGTTCACACTGAGCAAATGTGACAGATGTGACAGAGTTTGGAGACACCATGGAGAATGTTATGCTGCCTGCAACGTCCTCCAGCATCACTGAGTTGGTTTGGGTCAGTCATGGTGAGAGGAGGCATTTCTTTGGATGACTGCACAGCCCTCCATGTGCTAGTCAGAGGTGTCCTGACTGCCATAAGGTACCAGGATGAGATCCTCAGACCATTGTGAAACCATATGCTGATGCAGTGGTCCCTGGGTTCCTTCTTATGCATGACAATGCTAGGCCTCATGTGGCTGAAGAGTCAGCAGTTCCTGCTTGATGAGGGTACTGATGTTATGGACTGGCCTGCCAGATCCCCAGACCTGAATCCAATTGAGCACATCTGGGACATCATGTTTCGGTCAATCCAGCAAGGCCACATTGCACCACAAACAGGAGCTAACTGATGCTCTAATCCAATGTCTGGGAAGAGATCCCTCAGGAGAACATCCTCTGTCTCATTAGGCGCATGCCCAGGCGTTGTTGGGAGGTTATACAGGCACGGGGAGGCCACACACACTACTGAGCCTCATTTAGACTTGTCTTGAGGAATATTCACTGACGGTGAATAAGACTGTCATGTTATTTTCCACTTTCATATTGAGTATGAATCCAAATCCAGATCTCCATGGTGTAATAATTATGATTTACATTGATAATTTGTGTGATTTTCTTCCCAGTCAATTCCGCTGTGCTAAAAATAAAGTTTGTCAATGAGAATATTTAATTAATTGAGGTCTAGGATGTATTATTTTAGTGTTCCCTTTAACTTTGTGATATATATATATATATATA